AGGGCAGAATTGGGGATCCAATCCCTACGGTCGGGAAGAGACGCAAGGAAGCTGACATGGCAGTATCGCATGTGCGGGATGGGAGAGGAGAGGTTGCCGAGAATTGTATGGGAGGCGAAGTGGGCAAACAAAAAGAGGGGTAGACAACCCACGGAATGGGTCAAGGTTGCAGAGGACGAATGGAAGGGGCTCGACATCGACGATAATGAAACGCTGGAAACGGAGGGTCTAAAGGGGTTCGAGGAGAAGATATCTGTTGCATGTGCCGAAAGAGAAAAACAGAATCTAAGGAAAGAAACCAAGGATAAGGAGTGTCTAGAAGTTCAAGGAGGTTCAAGAATGAATAGGGTTTAAGGATCAAGAAGGAATAGGGTTCAAGGATTACCTACATGGACCAATGGATGCAGGAACAAAGCTTAAGTTCAAATTTAGGACCGGGGACATTGACCTTTGAGAACGTCGACGAAGACATAGGACGGTAGACGACGAAGACAACGGGGTTGGGTTTACGTCGCTTGGCAGCGATGTTGTAAAACAAACCGACCACTTCGTGAGCTCGGCAACCAGGTTACCGCTTTTTTTTCGTCTTTTTTACTGTTTTTACGGTAACCGTGAATGGTGGTCGAGTACATTATGTTGTGCGGGGTCGAGAACCCTCACTCCGCGTAAGGGGGAAAATCGCACCTCGTTGTGTTATAATGGTCAAGCACTCTCGAGGCAGTTACAAGTGCTTGCAACTGTCTCTGGGAGTGAAGGCATCAGAAAATGTCATATGCAGCTGTCACCCGTGCGCAAGGAAGTAAGCACAAGATGCCGAACACCCTTAGGAGGATGCAGCGCACCCTTCATGCGACTCGCCCAATATCTCACGGCGCTTCGCGCTTGGTGATGTGAGAGCCTAGTCCGGTGAGAACCCGGCGTGGTCCGTCCCGGCTTTGTAGGGATGCGAGGTCAATGGTCTAACGACTACGGCACGCATGACTATGAACCCCCCCCCCCAAGCCAGGGAAAACCATTCTCGTCTATCCAAGCAAGGACTATTGTTGCGCAAACTCTTTGCGCCATAGTTTGTCGCTGTTCCATGGGCAGCTCATTGGGCACTCCTCCCGCCCTAAGGAACATTTTTGGCAAACTCTTCGCGCCTTAGCTTCGTCGATTCCAGGAAAGAGCACACGTGTTTCTCCTTGATCTCACTTCTCGCATTCAGGAAATGCTGTCATCATTCACGGTTTCGTATTGGTCCGCCTTGTGGATGATATGTCTTTCTTGGTTCGATAAGCGTCCTCGAACATCTACCAACCGGTTTACATGTTCTTGACGATAGGTAACGATGGTTGACCTCGAATCGTCCCTGCATTCTTATCATTTTCTTTATTTGGTGAGCCTCCTCTCATAGCTGACATCCCGCTTCCGTTATTGAGTCGATAAGCTTCTTCTGGCAGCTAACAAACGGACCACGTGCTTGACTCGACAAGCCTCCGTCCGGAACCACCTAACATCCACCGTTTTTTCATCTTGACGGCAGGTGCCGACGTGACAGTCGCAAACGAAGAAAACGTTAAGGCTGGCGAGACGTTCCTGCCTGAGATTCCGGAGGTGAGCAGTAGCCCGCGCCAACGTGCTGCTGCTGCTGCTGCTGTGTTGTTGTTGTTGTTGTTGTTGGTGGTGGTGGTATCCAGTAAGACTTTTTGAACGCATTCCTTTGCAGAAGATTTTTTTCTTTCCCTTTCCCTTACCTGACTTGGTCACTGCTTAAGGTCGGAGTACTTGTGTGGACTGTACATAGGTCTTTGAATGTATCTCCTGCACTAGTGTAAGTGTCTTAGCTTTCAATTGTTGCTATGATGTGGGGGGTTCAAGTATAACTGTTGTCGCTGTCGCGGTGATGGTGGGTTTAATGTGACAGAGACCCTCTTTGTCCCACCGTCGACAACTCTGGCATTCACAAGCAAGCTCCCTAAGTACAATTTGTAGCCTCTCGCAGGTGCTGTCTATGTTCTGCAATGATCTTCTTGGATAACCCCTGCGGGAATGGAATTAGCTTGCTTAACGCACGGCTTCGTCTGTATTCAGAGATAGGTTGACTGCTGCGATAAGTCAGGTCTAAGGATATCCAGCACGATTTTCCCACTTCGACCATGATCCGCATCAGTTTAACGAATATCGCGTTGTTTTCTGACCATAACCCACGTTACGGGTTTAACCAAGATCACGTCGTTTTTCTGCCCGCAGGCACAGCAAGGTCAGATCAAAGTGTTGTTGAAGGAGAGGCAGCCGTTGCTGATGAAGGGATATGAGGCCGCGCGACGGAACATGGCGCTCATGTACATGAGGTCGGAGCGGAGCGATCTCAACCTCCGCATGTCTCAGGTTGGCCTCACTGCTGTCTCACTTGTTTTTGTTGCTTTCAGGATGAGTTTCGATCGCCACAGCGAGAAAACAACGAACCTCATTCGCGGGATGCTGTCAGTGCAATACGAAAGTGGTTTGGGGACGATAGTAGTCGGTGTCCAGCTGAAAGGACTTCGGACTTACGAGACGGACATGCCGGCCACCTATAATAGCGCAACGCACTCGTTTCATTCTTTTGCGCCCAACGGAACGATAGATGTCGTTCGTTGGCGACGTTTATACAGCGTCCTTCTTGGATCTGCCTGTCGTTGTTGTTGTTGTTGTTGCCGTTGTTATTGTCGTCGCCATCGATGTTGACAAATCCTACGCCAATGGTTGACCTGCGATGAATGCAGGGCGAGGTGGAGACCCTCTGGGGGAAGCTCGCGAAACGGGAGAAGGAGCTGAACATGAGCAAAATGGGAGCGAGGGACCTTTCCCACGCGGTGAAGGCGATGAAGAGTGCCCTAGAGCAGGGACGCAACGACGCAAAGGCCATTCGAGAGAAGCTGGCCGCGCTGGAGGTGCAGTGGTTGCTTGTGGCGCTGGGACTGCTACTGCTGTCGGCGGTGTTTTCATTGGTTGTTGTTGTTGTTGTTGTTGTTGTTGTTGTTGAAGAGCTTCGATCGTGTTTGCATGGAGACCACGAGCCGACCACCGCCGATGTCGCGTTTCCCATTTGTGGTAAATTCATGGTATCTAGGTATTGTTCGTCCCGCGAACAGCACTGGGAAGTTTTATGGATATTGCGTTCTTTGCATTGCTATTTTTTGTCCCATTTTTCCTCTCTTCGACGACAGGTAGCGAAGCTAGGAAGGACCCGAAGAACAGCGGATGACTTTTGAAATTTTGCAGTGGCGGGAGAAAGCCGGCTGGATATGTACCTGCTGTTTTTTTTTTGTTTCTCCATCGTGTTTTCCTCTTTCAAAGTCAACGAAGCTAAGGACGAAGCCCGAGAGCAGCGGGTTTATTGTGACGTATTTGGCGGTGGTGGGAGAAAAAATACGGCGGGATGTATGCCTTTATATTTTTTCTTCCGTAACTTATTTTTTTCTCTTTCAGACCGAACTTAACGAAGCTAAGGACGAAGCCCAGGAGCAGCGCGAGCGCGCTGCGAGGGCAGAACGATCCTACGCGATGCTTCTCGAGAAGGGTCGGAGGAGAGTTTCTTCTTGCGAACGGGACGGCGAGGAGGCGCGGTCCTCGACGCTCCAGCGGGATCTGCAGGCGGAGGAGGAGGGGGGAAGGGTCGAGAAGTCGTCCGTCAAGGTGGGCGGGTTGACCCAGTCGTACTCGAAGGACGGGGCGCCGGAGTGGAAGTGGCTGGGGAACTGCCCGAAGGTGAAAGCTACGACAAACGGGGTGTGCTGTTGCTGAATGCCTTCCCCGCAGTTTGTCAAGATCGAACGAATAATATCGTTCGAGAGAGAATAGAGAGAGCGCAGCAATTACTCCTAGTGTAGCAAGGACACCGCCTAAATTTAGGCGCCTGTCGCAGCTTTCGCCATGGTTGCATCACACAAGTAGTTTGTACATGTCGTTGTATGAAGCAGATGGGGAGGGGAGGGAGACGGGGGAGCGATCTGACGTCCGGTGAAAGTTGATGGCGCTGTGCATAGCATTGCCTTCTGCATGTCCAGACCATCCCTTCTCGACGCCGTTCTTATCTGGTGGTCCCCGAGCCATCCTGCCATCCTGGCGCGAGTCGGGTCATGCAGAAAGCTTCGATTCCCCTCCAACCATCCCGCGCATCTCAACTGTATGATGTATCATATGCCTACACGTGATTCCTTATGTGGAGGGCATGCGTGCGATTGCATCTTTCGGTTTCTGTGGCTTTTTTATGAGGAACAAACGCCTCGGTTGTTGAAATCCAAACTTTTGTTGTCGTGGGGGATACAAGCGCGGTGTAGTGATGGGGCGTACGAGAAATCCCACTACTCGCTACTAGCCAGCGATTCTGAGCGTGTGGCAGAAGGTGGTACGTGATATTGCACGGTGCAAGGTTTCAGTGCACAGGTTAGTTCAGCATTCTCCACTGATTCCTCGAGCGACCGCCCATTCCCCTTGGCCCCGCTTTGGCAAAGGAGGAAGGAACGATTGGTAGCCGTCGTTGATCGATCCTGTCGGAACAATGCTTAGTTCTCTCGAGGGTGCGTGGGCAATGGCCGAACAACCAAGGAACGCAAAACATAAGCCCCTCCCCCCCCCCCCCCCCCC